TTATTAATTCTGGCATTACTGGAAGAGTAAAAGATAAATTCCCTCACAAATGAACATACCTTTCCATTTTCTTAAGGAAGTAGAGCTAATTAAATGACATAAACAAAACCTGAAAGTGATTCCAGTTTCTCTTGATGGCCAACCTGTTGAAACTGGCAAATTTTAAATTCCTTGTGTCATTCCTGGACAGTCAGCTCAACTTTGCTGAAAACACTGACTATGTATTTAAGAACTGTTCTCAGAGACTCTATCTTTTAAGAAGACCCAGTGATCTTGGGGTTACCCAACTTGAGGTTCTGTACAACCTCTAGTTATACACGACTAGAGGTTGTTGAGTTAAAATGTTAAAACTTAACATTTTAACTTGAGTTTTAACTCAGCTCAAGTTAAACCAACATTTTAAATCAAGTTTTAACTTTTCATCTCCTCAGTTGGTTTGGTCACATGAGCAGACTAACAGAATCTTTTAAGAATACTTTGAATGGCAGGTATAACAGCAGGTAAATGGTGGTGACACCAAAAACATCTCTGTCTCAACTGTTTGCTGAAAGAAAATGGAAGATGGCAGGAAATATTTTAGCAGAGAGCATCCATCCTCTTTATTTATCAGTTTGACCCTCTGAACTCATGGAGATGTTACTGTGTTCCTTTGGCAACTAAGAACATAGAAGTCATTTATTGACAGTGCAATAATTATTCTTAACCAAACTAAATAACATTTACCTATAGCGTGCTAAGTGTTTTGCTCTATTCACAAATTGTTGATAATGTGATTCTATGAATATGATTTATCATTTTAGAGCCGAAGGAAAATTTCCACCTTGATAGATTAAATAGTTTTATCTTATTTGTTCCTATATATAAGATGCTACCAATAAAAAGTCTCTCAAAATAATATACATGGCACCGTAAAAACAAAAATGTGAATTTTTGCTTATATCTGTTTAACAACCCTGGTTGTAACAACCTGGGTTGTTATTCCTAATTTGTTTATCATTGACTTTTGCTGATTTAAATTTCTTACGTATACGTTGCACATGGTAGTTTTATTATAGTTGATCATGTTGTTTTTCATGTCTCTTTATTTCTTTTCTTCCTCCTATAATTGATGGAGATATACAGATATTATTTATAA